TACAAAGTAGGGCCTGGATTTGATGTCAAAAACGTTTAGTGGAGAATATTAGATAATGGCTAAAATTCAGCTCCATGTTCACATTTCAAGAAAACGTTCTTTAGCGACGAAACAGTCTTCATAAAAGTGACGGAGAAACCAAAGTCATTTGTCGTAAAAAATAAAATAATGAGTTAGAGAAACGGCCTCTACTTGAATTGACGAGACAACACTAATAATTTGGAACATGAATCTCGTCATATATATCAAGATTTGTTTGCATGTGTTTCCTGTAGGTCGTATTATTCCAACATGCTTCTTGGCTCAAGATCATAGACGATTCATTTCCCATTAAACAGTTTGATTGATTGATCGACTGATTGATTGATTTGAGAGGTCCGGCACGAAGACATTTGATTCAGCTCTAGCCTGAGCTCTATTTGTTATTTTGCCTCTTAAAAACAACACTCCAAAAAGAAGTTTGTCATTAATAGCTTGTAAAATTGGGGCCAGTAATCTCAGGTTTCCTTAGCTACTCTAGAGTAGACTTTGAAGAAAAATGAGAGTATACGAACTTATAAACAAAACGCCTTGATACTGGACGCTTTAAAACTTAGAAAATCATTAATATTTGTGTGGGCGAAAATCAACGTGTTTTTTTTTTTATTTTTTTTTATTTTTGATTTTTTTGATTTTTTTTTTTTATTCAAGACATTTATTACTATAATTACAAAGAACTACTTAAAAAGAAGATAATTACAAAGTTCTAAACAACCGCAATAACAGACAGACATACAATTATCTACATTTCACAATTATATACATTACAGCCACAAAACAGCCGCGCAATTGCCGAATGAGGCTTATTTTACAAAGAATTAATTAATACTTAATTATGTAGATAAAGAGAGATTAACACTTAATATTTACAGTACGCTCTGAAATAAAAAAACAAAAACATAACCACACATACAAAAAAAAATATACAAAAATACAAAAATACAAAAAAAAGTGTCTAATAAAAGATTACATTTTTAATTACATACTCACGAACTTAATTAAAGGGGAGAAATGTCTTTTGACCATTTTTCATAAAAGGTTTCTAATTTATTATTCTTAGTGGAAATATATTTTTCAACTTGGTATTTAATTCTTACTTTAAATTTGAAACCTTCGATGTTTGGAAGTACCTGTTTCTTTCTGCAATCCCATAAATACAATTTACCAATTAATATCAGATAATTTAACAAGGGGCATTTTGACATCGTTATTCCAATTATAACCTCTCGTAAACACAACCCGTGAAATTCCTTTGTTATTGTTAAATAATACTGTTCAACATTTTTCCACAACATATTTGAGTGCTGACAGTAAAATAGAAAGTGACATAATGTTTCCTGTTCAGTCTTGCAAAAAGTACATTTGTCATGCTGGAGATATCCAATTTTAAAAAGTTTTGCATTAGTGTAAAGTATTGAATTTAAAACTTTATATTGAAAGGATTTGACGTAAGGCTCCTGTGTTGTCAGGTGGGGAAGGTTGTAAGCAATTTTTAAGTCTTCGTCAGATAAGCCAAAATCATGTTTTAAATTCTTTGCATTACTAGGTAATTGTGCTTTATTTGATATTATTAAAGAGTAGTAGTCTTTCGTTTTCTTTTCCGCTATGTCAAAAATCTCATTCCCCTTTGTAAAATAAGTATTTTCTGTAAAGGTAGTATACTCTATTGTTTTCAGAATAGAAGGAATTGCATGCCTGAGACCTGTCCATGTAAGAAAATTAGCTTTCTCAATTATGTTATTGATTGCATTAAAGGATTCTATATTGTCGAGATTGAACAAGAGATCTTTAATAATACATATCCCCGAGTCATAATAAGATTTATAAAAGACTGGTTTTCCATCTATTCTTATATCTTTGTTATTCCAAATTATACAGAGCCGTTCTTTGTTAGCTAAAAAGAGATTTCGAAATTCTAACCAACATTCTAAGAGTTCTCTGTAGAAAACCGAGTTGATTGAAAGATCGTTCATTGCATAATTGCATTTAAAAAGTAAAAGACCACCAACACTACGAAGGAGATGAAACAAGTAAAATTTCCACGTACTTTCATTATCGCTGAAAACACGTTTTAGCCAAGCTAGTCGTACAGCTTTGACCAAGCTTTCAATATCTGTCATTTTTATGCCACCGTCTTCATAACTGTTTATTGAAGAGAGCCTCGTTACTTTATCCTTTCCATTCCATAAAAAGGAGAAAATTATACTATTCACTTGTTTGATGATTTTACCTGGAGGTGAAAGAACCGAAGATATAAAAACTAGTTTGGGAATAAGTAATGATTTGATTATAGTTACTTTACCATAAATGGACAGTCCTCTAGATGACCATATATTTGTCAGCTTCTTTATGCTGTCAACCTTCTCTTGAAAGTTTTTTTCGTAAAGTAATGATTGGTCATATGTAAAAAAGGTTCCTAAAGCTTTTATGGGTTCACTGGGCCATTTAATACCAAAAGGTTTTTCATCTTTTCTTTTAAGCGAACCAATCCACATTCCTTCTGTTTTAGAGCTATTTATCTCCAACCCACTGAAGTTCTTAAATACTTCTAGTTCTTGAAATAACGTTTTTGCAGAGCTTTCATCAGACAGGATTGCTGTGGTATCGTCTGCGTATTGCAATAGCTTGGCTTCGTAATTTTCTATTTTAATTCCTTTGATATCAGCATTTTGACGAATGGAGATTGCCAAGCTTTCAACAGCTAAGATAAAGAGGTAAGGGGACAAAGGATCACCCTGCCTCACACCACGTTCTAAAGTAAAATAGTCTGATGCCATTCCATTATTTATTACACAGCTTTGAATATTTGTATAAAACATTTTGACCCAATTTATAAAATTGGGGCCAAAATTAAAAGCCTCAAGGCAACTGAAAAGATAATGCCATTCTAAAGAGTCGAAAGCCTTTTTAAAGTCAATGAAAATCAAGATACCTGGAATATTCTTACTGTCTGTAAATTCCATTATATCGAAAATTGATCGGATAGTCTCACCAATATAGCGATCTTCAACATAACCTGTTTGATTATGATGAATGATATTCGGTAGAACTTTCTTTAATCTTAACGCAATCACTTTTGAGATGATTTTTGCATCCACGTTAATAAGAGAGATTGGCCTCCAATTTTCAATGAGAGTTCGATCTTTATGTTGCTTTTCTATAAGAGTTATGATTGCTTTTCTTTGAGAGCTTGACATTTCACCGTGGTCAAAACACTCTCTCACACACTCCATAAATGGATCACTAATTAATTCCCAGCAACTTTTGTAAAATTCTATTGGTATTCCATCATTACCAGGAGATTTGTTATTCTCAAAACTGTTAAGGATGGCTGTAATTTCTTCAACAAATATTTCTCCCTCACAAGATTGTTTTTGTTCTTCTGATAATCTTGGTATATTCAAATTATTTAAAAATTCGTTTCCATTTTCCCTATCCTCATCTGTTACGTTTGATTTGTACAAGCTATGGTAAAAGCGTTTTTGTTCGTTTAGTATCCCAAAAGGATCAGATGTAATGGAACCACTTATTAGCAGTTTTCTTATATGTTTTTTGACGTGATTACGCTTTTCTAAATTTAGAAAATATTTTGTGCTTCTCTCGCCATGCTCGTGCCATCGTGCCCTTGCGCGAATAATTACACCCCTTGTTTTTTCCTCATAGTAACTTTCTAGAATTTCTTTTGCTTCATTTAGAGTATTTAGGTTAGAGTCGGAAGGGTCCTGTTCGAATTTTTTAGTCGCTTCCTCGTATACTTGTTGTAAGTTTTTTTCCATAGCAGATCGTTCTTTGGCTTTCTTTTTCGAGAACAAAATAGCATGCTTCCGAATATTATACTTAAGCCAATCCCAGATGCACCTTTTGTCTGATAAATTATCACTTCCTGTTGTTTTCCAAAGTGGAATATTTTGTTTTAATTCTTCCAGATAATTCGGATCTTCGAGAAGAGAGACGTTCATTTTCCAGAAGCCGGGCCCCTTTGAGTTTTGATTGGAGTCGGTTAGATTCAACTCAATTGCTGCATGATCAGTTTTTATAGCGGGAATGATATCGGTTGTATTTACAAAATCCTGTAAGTTGTTTGATATCAGCCAGTAATCTAAACGACAGAAAATTGGTGGAGATTTTTGGCTCCAAGTGTAACTTCTAGATTGCGGATTTTTAATTCTCCAGACGTCGACAAGGTCCAATTCATTTTGTAAACATTCAATATTATCAATAACCATTTTTCTAGGAACCATAACGCCACCTTTCTTATCCAGCTTAGGGTCAAGAGGACAGTTAAAATCCCCTCCAATGATTATATTTTCTTCACAATCTAAGTCTTCTGTCTGTAGCACTCTATGTAGGTTTTTATAAAATTTGCCGCTGACTTTATCTTTGTTTGGCGCATAAATATTAACTAAAATGTACACCTTATCCTGAATGCCTGCCTTCAAAATAATAAATCTTCCCTGGGGATCAACAATGGATTTTTGGATTACACAATTAAAATTATTCCTAATCAATATCGCAACCCCACATGAATTTGGACTACCATGTGAGAAAAATGCTTTACCACCCCATTCATTTGCCCATTGTTTTTCTGAATCCTCTTTTGAATGCGTTTCTTGCAGGAATATTACGTCAGCTTTTCTTTTTCGGCACCAGGTGAACATAGTTCTTCTTTTATGAAAATTACTTATGCCCCTTACGTTCAAAGAAACTAATTTAAATAAATCTGCCGTTTCAGTTGTGTTTTATAAAAATGCATATATTGTTTGGGATTAGTACTTTCCAATGTTTAACGAAGCATTCAAAAAGAGTGAAACAAAAGACATTTTCTCCTCCCACTGGGAAAATAATAAAACAAAACAGAACACATAGTACATTTACATATAAACTGATATTAAACAAAATTCTTAACATCTAGTGGACGTAGATTCACTGTTCAGTTTGAAACCGATCATGGAATTAATACATTAATAATTTTTTGCCATTTTACAATAATAGGGAAGGTCTTTAGTTTCTTTTCCTCTGTATATTTGGCCATTGATTATCAATTTATCAAAATTAAAGAAGGCTTTTTGCTTATCCTGCTTGGCCTTTTTAAGCACTGGATAAAGTTTTCTATGAATTTCTTCAATTTCTTTCGGGAAATCATCTGAGAAACCGATGTTGGTTCCTTTTAAGTTCTTATACAAGGAGCGAACATATTCTTTGTCCTGATAATGACTGAAACGAGCAATAATTGGTTTGGGATAGGACGGAGCTCTTAGACTAGATATATTAGTGGAGATTCGGTGAACTCGCTCAAAGCGGATATCGTTGACTTTATCCGCCGGAGAAAATCAACGTGTGACCTTTAGTAGACTTTGGAGACAAAAATTAATAAAGACATAAAATGCATCTTGTCTTTATTCGTTTGCAGCCTCCCTTTCCTTGTGTAGTTAAACAAGAGATTAAAATGACATTAAAATTAAGAAACAACAAAAAAAACTTTGAAAAAAGTTAGCCTCAGTAGCTTTGACATCTTTTCCCCCTTTGAGAAATAAAACAATGAATGATAACAACAATAATGATTTTCAGCTTTAAAAATGCCTAACAATACCAATGAATACGCTGCGCACTGTTGTTGAGAGGGTGCGGCGCTTATTTGAGGAAGGTGTTACATGGTAGTTATGGCAAAAGTTAGTCAGTGACGTCATTATATCACTAAATCTATATTTTGTATTTAAATTATAAAGGGAAAACCTGGATCAAGATAAGACTTTTTACCGGTGCCGATTGAACTATATACGTGTGTAGAGTGGGACTTCTACAGACTTTAGGATTACTTGAAGAGAGCTGACACAACCAGAGTTTGGAAGTTGACGATGGTTTTAATCTTTCCGTTGAGGTTACAAACTCCTCTTAGGTATCTCAGATCTCAAGGCGTAACTGTGAAACTAGTTACAAGAGGTTCCATTTATATTGAACTATTAAGTTAATTGATTTTTTACAGTTTTACATGGCATTTATATGCAAGGAAAAGGTGTTAGTAAGTGTCAGAGTTTAGAGAACAAAAGGAACTGAAATTGAGTTGATTCCCACCACGCGTGGAAGAAATTTGCAAAGCTAGAAATATCTCTATACCCAAATTCCTCTACAGGGAACCAAAACCATAGTTTGAAAGAAACTAAATTTACCTAAGATTGTGTCGAAAGAAATTGTAGTTTGAGATCAGAAAAGTAAGTGAAATTTGGCTAAAACTGGTTCAACAGAGAACAAAGAACTCGAAAGGTGTTAGGACGCGTGGCCTTAGGTTAGATTTTAATGAGATACGAAATCTGATTATGATTCAAGTTTGGAAGCGAAAGTGAGAACCAACTCCAGGTTTAAGTAAACGAACTTCGTTAACAGGAAACGCTATCCCACAGCTGAATACCTCTACCTATTTCTATCTTTTTTGAACTTGTTTCCGTGTTTCTTGAGTAAGCTTGAAGAGGTGTTTCTTAACCTAAGTTAAACCTTTAGTTGTGAAAGACTGAAACTACATTTATGATGTTTCCTGCAATTATCGTGCGTCCAACTTCCATTTTTGATTGATCCCAACACCAAAGAGGTCGGTGCAAAAATCTTTTAGCAAAGGACTTAACTGACCAGCAAAGGTTTGCTAGTAAAAACTAAAGTGTGTCCAGCTGTTCTGACAGCTTGTAAACACCATCCTTTGTCCCTTAACAAAAAATATTTGAGATATGGTGGAACTTTTGATTTCTGAACCGACCTAAAAACAAATTTATTTATATGATATATACCCCTGAATAAAGTCAAAATGTCCAACACCGAAATGAATAAAATCCATATTAGCGAGTTGAGGACCGGAAGCAAGATTGAGAGACTCAACTTGTGTTAATTTCTGGCAAAACGTTTGGAACAATAGTGTTTGTTTTAGTTCCTTAATCTGGGAACCAGCGCCTACTTCTCCTTCCGGTCCTTTACTCTGATTGAACTTAGTATGTAAACACCCTATTCCTAAAACAAGATAAATCGAAAACATTAATTGATCATACACAAGTCCAAGTTGTTTGCCTAACCTCAACCTCACAAATTAGTTGTTTTCATTCAACCCCTGTTCAGTAAGAGGCGGCTCCTCTTGACTACTGTTTTGTCACAACCCAAACCTATCATTATCATTGTTATTATTATTATTCCTATCATTACGATACTAAGTTTACGTGTTTTTTGTGTTTTATACTTTTAAATTTTTTTTTGAATTTTTTCCCCCAAATTTTACTTCTTATCATAGACTGAATAAATATGATCCCCTCAGTGAAAACATTCCCCAATATAAATACTTGGAAGGTAAAATGATAAAATATTTGAAACTTAAAATGATTAGTATAGGTAATAGCATGATTTGTACGTGATATTTGGCATAAATACCACGAGTGATATTTCGAAATTGTTATACGTAATTTCACGAGCCGTTAGGCGAGTGAAATTTGAGACAATTTTGAAATATCACAAGTGGTATTTATGCCAAATATCACGTACAAATCTTGCTATTATTTGTTTATACTACTGCCCTCAAAAGGTTTGTAATTTTCACATGTAGGTATTTCAAATTAAGCTGAAATACCACTGCTCTAAGCCAATCAAATTGCCGAAATTTCTCATGCAGTAGTATAAACAGGTTAAAAGGAAGGGACAATATGTGTAGACACTTAAATTTCAACTCCTTTAATTCTATGACTTGAGATTTAATCGGCGCTTCTGCCGCATCTCGCTCTGACATTTTTGTCATCCTTCGTTTGAAGTGGTCCTCAATGCGACTATAGCTCTACCCAACTACTCGACGTCATGTTTGTTTGCTCCCCGATCAAGATACCTATGTCCTAAGCATATGGTAAAATAGTGAAAACAAAATAAATAAAGATTCAAATAGAAAATAAAATGTTCGAAAAATGTGTCTACACGTGCCTTATGGGGTGTTTCATCGTTTTTCCTCGTTTAGAACATACAGGGCAGTATGTTATGAATTCGTTTTAGAGACTATTTACTTAATGCTTGAGACTAATGGAATACTAATATCAAAGTGCATGTGACCCATTATTAATTATTATTTCTAGTTTGTTTCGTAAAAAGTTTCTACTTCGTCTGGTGTGAACCTTTACGATCCTGCCAGGAATGTTCGGGCGAAGGTGCTTCGGTAGCTGTACCTGCTCGGTGGGCCGTAAGTACCGCCAAGGTCGCTGAGAGAAACGCTATTGGATGACGCGTAGTTGGAAATGTAAATGTCATGTCCTACTCCAAATGTAGGGCCATCAGATGAGCCACGGTATATTGAATATCTTCTTGAACTATATTTCCCTGTCTGAGGCAGTTTAACAGGTGCCCATCCTGGTTTGTTCACCAGTGAAAACAAAAATGCTTTGGAGTCGTACTGCGCGCCACCGCTGGAAGCTATCAGAGAGAAATTAACGATGCAACCAAGTGTAATTAGCGCCGTTTGTTCTGATACTCACTTTAGAAATTAAACCACCCGTCAAGTGCATTGACACTGAAGACAAACCTGGAAACAAGTTTCCTAATTTGAAACAAATAAGAGTCTGATATGTGTTATTTATTTTACTTTGTAGTTGTTAATAGGACAAGACTAGTACCAAAACTAGTACTAAAACCAAAATCAAATGCAAAAAACAAACAAACCAACAAGCAAACAAAACTAAATAATTAACGGTCAGAGCAAACCTATCAAGTCTATAAACGGAAATATTTTCGATCATTATTTTAATTGAAAAATTTCGTGTAGATTAATCGAAATTTTTCCTTCCAGAAAATATCTTTACATCATTCATTATCTTTAACTAAACACAACGGACGTTCTACTAATGGTAATTTCAGTTAGACGCCAATTACACCCTTTTTTGCTATAAAGATTGTAGTTTTTGTTTGAAAACTCTTAAACTCTAGTTTTAAAAAAAGGCTTTCTTATCAAACTAGTTGATGGAGCATGTTCGATCGCTTTGTTTCAAAAGTGAAAACTATTGGTACAGAAATGTTCTGTAATTTCAGTCTTACAGACCATTACAATCATTATTTTAGGAATTGGTAGTTTTGACGGAGGTAAATAACTGTAACGATCGGGATCAAATTTTAAGTCTTAAACTAAAGCTAGTAGCCGTTAGTAGTAAAATAATCTCTTTTTGTAATGTTAACTTACCCCATGAAATACTGATGTATCCTCCGAAAATATATTTTCCAACCCTTATTATTGTTACAGTCGGTCCCTTGCCATCACATCGTGAATGAAATGTACTTGCAGCCCAGCCATCCACAGATGCACGCCAACAGCGCTTCCAGAGAGAATAAACGCCTTTAGCCACAGGTGCTAACCAGTTGCTTAACGAGATCAAGTGGTTTCTGTTGTTTCCCACAATAACGGAGGCTTTTAAACCTGTCACTAATAAAATATGTTTTTATACAATTATTTTGTCATATATTTAAATGAAATATATACACAAAATTCAAATGAGACAGGCAATTAATTAAGGGAGCCCATGGAAGCCGATAAGGCTTAGGGACGGACCATTAGAAAACTTATGAAGGGGTGGGGGGGGGGGGGGGGGGGGGGGGGGATGGCGAAGTACCCAAAAAATATTCGGGCAAGGGAAAATTAAATGAAAAGAAATTCATGTATGCCAATTATCCCTAAAAAATATTCATGCTATGGCCTAAAAAATATTCATACAAGGAATTTAATAACGAAAAAAAATTCCTGCGGCTCGAAAATCCCCCCCCCCCCATAACTTTTCTAATGGTCCGTCCCTGTATGAAACGGACTGTATATATGCCTGAAATAAGATACAAACGGCACTGGCATTGGAAAGGCAATTTTACATTTGTCCTGCAGTAGGGCAAACGGAAGGAATTCTTACTTCTAGTGTTATATGAATGTACGTCACAGTTAAATAAAAACATGTCATTGGAACTTTCAGGAAGAAGGCCTCTTTTATTAAGATACACTTTACCTATCTGAAGTTTGATTTCATAACATCTCCAAAGTATAGAATATAATTCGTAAGCTCACAAAAACAGGATTAGTATGTGTATCAAATTAAAAGTACTCCTGGAAATTATTCTAATTACCCGTTTTTTTAAGAGTTATATCAAACGTCGCGAGTTTTCGCTACGACGGCCGTTTTGCGCAACACAGCATTGCAATGTTGAAACAATGTTGCAACCATTTTAAACAATGTCGCAACAATGTTGCAACGCTGTGTTGCGCTTAACATCATTGTTACGGTTAAGGAAGTCTTAATAAGGCAGAAACTTGATTTGTAAATACAGTCGACTCCCGATAACTCGAATCTTCAGGGGAAATCGAAAAAATGGGCACCAACAGTGCACCTTTGTTGGCTGATCTCTTCCTTCATACCTTTGAGTACGATTTTATGGTCAAAACAATGAAACAAGACATTACAAAAGCCATCCAGTTCAGCAACACCTTTCGATATATCGACGACTTATTCAGTATTAACAACGTGAACTTTGGAAATTGCATCAGCGCGATTTACCCTTCGGAATTGGAACTTAAGGACACATCCACATCATCTACTGAAGTGTGTTATCTCGACACAAATATTATCAAGACTGGCGTATCAGCATCTACGATAAGAGAGATGACTTTGCATTCCGAATTGTCAACTTTCCTCATATGGACAGCAACATTCCCACCAATCCAGCTTACGGTGTTTACATATCTCAACTGGTGAGATATGCTAGAATTTGCATGTCCAAATTTGACTTCATAAATAGACTCCGCGGACTTTCATTACGTCTCAGACAACAAGACTTTGAAACCAATCGACTTCAGAACTCATTCAATAAATTCGTCAATCGCCATGGTTTTATCGTCGAGAAGTATGGTGCAGCCCTTCGGGAGATGAGATTAGCAATCCAGGCTTAAATTGCACCATCGTATCCTTACATTGCTTATTTATTAGTTGGGTTTTTATTTCAGTTATATCACAGGTGGCCCAAGCGTAATATGGGCCTGTGGTGGCGTAATATGAGAGTTTGTATGGGAAAAATAGAGTTTCAAACTTAGATGAAATAAATGAAGTAAAAGCGATAAAAGTTATCAATAAAGTGTAAATACTGTTACCTGGAGTCGTTGTCTTTGTTTTTACGAAGTTTCAGCGCGATTTGAGTACTTTTACATCATCTGACCTGAGAGTGTAATAATTTTATTATTACACATTCAGGAAATGATCTGAGGGGATTAAAAAACTACATGTACGTCTAGTTAGCGGGAGGTTCGAGTTATCGAGGGTTCGATACCGACTTACCGAGGGTATAAATAAAGTAAATGTATGAAGGAAATCCAGCGGAAATCGATTTTAGTTCGAGTTAGCACGATGTTCGAGTTAGCGAGGGATCAAGTCATCCGGATTCAACTGCAATCCCTATACTGATTTTGAGACTTTAATTAATTGCAACGTTTTGTATAGTGAGATTTTCAAGAAAACTGTTCATCAAGTATAACCCCGATCCTAAGAATATGACGTTAGAACTAGTAAAAACGAAAACCGATCGACGTAAGCCTGAAGCACAAACATGGAAATAATTGTATTTGATTTAAATTATTTTCAAAGTTTCAATCTGGGTCACCCAAATTATATTTTGCGACAACAGTAGACTGGGACGAAACGCCGGATTCATTTCGCCCCTTCCTCGATTGTTCCAGGGCTTACACGATGGCTGAACCTTACATGTAACCAAACTATATCTGAGATGATATATATGTAGGTGTAAATAATGCCACTAATTTATGTACATACAGACCTAAGTGACGTTGCACTGCCACGTTGGTTCTTGAATTTTTTGTTCCCATAATGTTGGTTGCTACACACTCGTACAAACCGCTGTCACTAGGAATCAAGTTCTTAATGGTTAGTGCACCTTGGTTTACTTCAACCCTTCCAGCTGGCAAAGGCATTCCAACTCTACTCCAGGTTACTGTGGGGCGAGGAAAACCTTCTGCTTGACAAGTTACTTGAAAGGTAGTGCTTTGCACTGGTGCAGCGTGTGGTGGTGGGACTTTAGTGAAAACCGGGAGGCCTGAAATAAATAAATAAAAGTCATCACTGGGAGAATTTAAAGGACTGCAAAGAACCTTATATTAAGAAACGGGAACAATTAATTCTTCTCATATCATTTGTCAACTTGTCATCTGTTCCAATCACCATCTTCCATTGATGTTGTATAGCTAACATTTTACGCTTCATATTTGCCGAGGAATTATGTACAACTTAATGCGTGTTGCCCGGGAAGAGGGGAGGGGGGTACTTCCTTATGAGGCGCTAATGGGAACGTGCCGGTGGATGGGGTCACATTTTCACGACTGGATTAACTATAATGGGCTCGCATTTTCAATAGAGTTTACTAGAATGGGGTCGCACATTTTCGGATTTTGGGGGGTAAGACAGTTCTTCATGTTTACGGTTACAAAATGTACCAGAATGTTTGCACTGCAAATGAAAAGTAAAGTGTTCTTTATTCAATCTAAGAAATGGGTCAATTCATAAAAATAGAAAGTGACTAAGTTTGGATCGCGAAAATTACATATTTGCCCAAACGTGACTAAGAAGGGGTATATAATTGGCCACAGAATGGACTATGATGGGGTAGGTGTTCTGAGAGGCCAGATGCACATACCCAGTAAAAATTAACCCAAGTATCCCCCTTCCCCCCCCCCCCCCCCCCCCCCCCCCCCCCCCCCCCCCCCCTCCCCCACCAAAAAAAAAAAACAAAAAAAAAAGGCGGACAATGGGAGAAAGAAAAAAAAAAAAAAAAAAAAAAAAAAAAAAAAAAAAGAGAAAAAAAAAAAAAAAAAACACAAAACAACACAACCACACACACACCCCGCCCACCACCATCAAAA